GGGGGGGGGGCTTATTCAAGGGATAACTGACTAGTTTATGGTAACCGTGAGATCAAATCTCAATCACAAATCAATAGATAAATTAGAAAATTTATAATTTTGGTAATTTTAAGTTAAAATTTGAATAATATTTTAAGGGTATTTTCTCTCATCTCTCCGTCTCCCGTCCTCCGCTGATACCGCTGTGATACCGAAAAAAATTAACTCTGTTAAACAAAAAGACACAGTGTGGTACCCAAGCACATATAAGATGCATTGTGATATCATTGTATTACATCTCCGATCGACCACACAAATGACCTCAGTGTGATACCCAAGCACATATAAGATGCATTGTCATACCACTGTGGTATCACCGGAGGACGGTGGGCGGAGGCCGGGGGACAGATAGAGGAGAGAGGAGAGAAAATACCTAAAATGTCATTGTATTAAAATTTTAATTCAAAATTACCAAAATTATAAAGTTTCTAATTTATCTATTGATTTGTGATTGAAATTGGACCTCATGATTACCACAAACTAATTAGTTCTAATTTGATTAAGCCCCTATACATACATACATACATACATACATACATACATACATACATACATACATGCATGCATGCATACGCAAAATAGTTTTCATCCATTTTAGAGCCCAATTTCCCTTTGTTTTTTGTTTATGAGATATTTAGAATTGGATTGATAATCAAAATAAAATATAGAAAGTTATTATTAACAGAGGAGATCAAGAAAATACTATTATGTTCTTAATTTGATATATTTCTTTCCATCATAACGATCATCGTCATCACTATCACTGTTACTACCACTACCCCCACCTTCTTCTCCACCATCACCACCGCCACTATCACCCTTGTCATTACCATCGTTACTACTTTCACCACCATATTCGCCATCACCCAGTCGTTGCCACCATCATTATTGTCTCTGCCACCATTGTCATCGCTACTACCAAACCCAATTAATACTAGTATTAACTTATTGTAAAGTATTTATATTTTAAGCAACAAAATACAAAAATATGGGGGTAGTTTGGTAATTTAATACTCAATTTTTTTATAAATTAATTAATAGTCAATTAATTAATGAACCTCTAAAGTCAAGGACATCTTAATGTGAACGAATATCACATTAAATAATGCAGTTACAATTATTTTCTTTATATCTTTTTATTTTTATTCGATTTATTTGAAATAAATAAATTAATATAAAAAAATACGCATTTGTAGGTTCGCAATCTCAACAGGAACAACATTTAAAAATATTATTTTAAGTTTTATAAATATTAAATTTACATTTTTTTAATTTCATAAATAATAAAATTTTGATAAGTAAATACTTTAATTGAATTATCATTAATTAATTAAAAAAATTACAATAACAAGAGATATTAATATTACTTTTAGCTGTTAACTGAAAAGATGATGCCAACTGATAAGTTAGTTGTTGAATAAAAAACCAGTCATGTTCAGTAAAACATAAACATTATCTGATACTTAAATGCAATAACTAAATACTTAATATTAATATTCACAAATTAATAATAAAATAGTAATTATTAAAACAGATCAGTAAATAAATGCCAATTTTATTTAATTAATATTAAGTAAAATTTTAAAATTAAAAAAAAATGAAGAAAAAAGAAAAGAAAACAATGATGTACTGAACTAATGTTTCAAAAGATTATTTGGCAGTTGTAGAATTATTTGGTGCAGAATGATTAAGTGGTTAAAATTATTAAGGGGTTCAGTGCAAAATGAAATATAATTGTTCGATAATTGTTTACAATTGAACTAGGTGCTGAATGGTTAAGGGAGACTCATGATACCTTAAAAGGGTTGTTTGTTTACCTCTTAATAGTTCCATTAAGAGGCAACATCTGAATCGTTAAGAGGTGAATTTTGTTTGATAAAAAAAAAGTCTGCCTCTTTATGGTTCTAAAACCCTCTGAATGATTTTGTATCATGGATTTCCCTTAACCATTAAGAGCCCTAATTTCATTGTACACAATTGCCAAACAATTATATTTTATCTTGCACTATATCATGAGAGTCTGTTAACCATTCTAACCACTTAATCAGTATGCACCAAACCATTCAACAATTGACAAACAACTCTAAAATCATTCAAATGGTTTTAGAACCATTAAAATACATATTTTTTTTTGCCAAACAAGATTCACCTCTTAACAATTCAAAGTATGTCTTTTAATGAAACTATTAAGAAGTAAACAAACAATCTCTAAGAAAAGATTTTTTTTTCTCCCAATAAATAGTCGCTAGAATGGCCTGATTGCCTAACGTCACAACTTGCTAGGTCTCGGCTCTAGTCATGCATATTTGTCTGCACGATGACCTCTAAATCAGTCGATGTTATATATGACATTCACGACGCTGAATTAGATTTTTGTCGTGTCAAAAAGTCCATGTAGGTCCAATTGCATTTATTCCCTAATCGCATGTCGATGAATAGTCCAATGGCAAGAGGTGTTACTAAATAATTGTACGAAGGATGTCATCATCACTTGTCCCAGATTCCATTTTTTCTCGTTGTCTCAACACTATACCCATAAAACTCAATACTTTATTGAATGTTTTTTACATTATCTTTCTTTCAATAAAATGATCTGCGGTCAAAAAGTCGATTGGTAGAAAAAAGGAATATAAAGTTTGGGAACAACTGATTCATATTCATGATTTTATTCTACCTTTTGCTACTTCCAAGTACATAAGACATGTATAAATATATATGTATTTTTCGAGAAATATTATCAACAAATCATCCCTACTATATTATAAAGCATTTGACAAAAATTCTTAAAACTCATTTTTTATGCATGGAGTACTGTTTATTAATACATATTACTTAAAATTCAAGATTGTAAGTAATTTTGCGTAAATACAACTTATTAAAGCTTCATTTTTAAATTCGTGTAACTAACTGTAGATAAACATAATCAAATATAAGATAAACATCCATTTTAAATATAGAAAATCAAAAATATAATTAAGATAATCACTGAGTTCTAACAAAATGTTTAATTATTATATTTATAAAAAATTATATTATTAAACTAAAATAAATTACTTTGTTATTAGATCTAAATTAAATCGTAATAAAAATTTGAATTTAAAAAGTTACAAAAAAAAAAGAACTATCAAATAATTAATTTGATACTAATATCAACTATTTTCTTTTCAAATTTTTATACTAGCTTCAAATTTATATTTCATTTAAAAATAAAAACATTACTGTTTTCTCAAAACCACATAAAATCATCTTACATCGATAGAGACAAAAAATAAAATATAACATTAAGACGATTGGGCGTGGGGTCGCTCAGAGTGGCTTTCTGTGAAGATCATGATGGTGCTTATTGGAGATGGTGGTAGTCGACATTGTTCTATATCAGGTTCTTCATCGTCTCTTTGCTCTTCGATCTGGTGATGAAGTTTTCCAGAAAAAAGTCATATTTCTGGGTAAATTAAGTAGGGAAGATCAAGATTTTTTTTTGAGAAAATGGGATAGAATATAATTGAATTTCTTTTTTTTTGAAGTATATAATATGTATAAAACAACAAATAAAATAAATAACACACACACCCTCCTTACATTTGGTGAAGTTTGAATCATGAACCTCCTAAAAAGCCAATGACTCGCTAAACCAAAGGTCCTTTAATGGATTTCGTGGCAATCATTCTATTTTAAGAAACTTGTTTAAGGATGATTTCAAGAGTGGAGGTTTAACTTCATTAACAAAGAAGCATTACCATATGAGGTGCCTGATGGGGCCAAACCAACCATCATCTCCATCTCCATCTCCCCAAATTTATTCTCTCCTCGTTCTACCATTTTCAGCTCTGACCATCTGCTCTACACATTTCTCTATCACCAATTATTGTTGTCGTTACTCTCTGATTTTCTCTTTCTCTCTCTATATATATGATAAAGTATTCACAACTGGAGATGCTTTACTCACGCCACAGGAGTATCCTACAACCACCAACATGAAGACTGTACTGTTCTTCATGTTTTCATTGATTTTTTACTCGAATTTTGCATTCGGACAAGCAGCAAAGCTCGACCAGAAAGAAGGTAGGTGTTTCTATTCCATTTTCATTGATTAATTGGCTCCTTATCGAGGAACGAAGTAGGAAGGATTAGTAGTGATTGTTGTGTGTGTGGAGTGATGCAGTGAAGGTACTCAAAGAATTAGGGGAAAAATTAGGGCTAGCGGGGAAGAAGGAATGGAATTTGGACAAGGATCCGTGCAGTGGCGAAGGAAATTGGGGACGTGGCGAGTACAGAAAAGGCTTTGAGGTCTCTGTTGAATGCGATTGCTCTTTCGATCGTAATGCTACCTGTCACGTCCATCGCATGTACGTATTCCTGATTTTATTCTGCTAAATTTGGAAAACAATTGTTAAATGGGGACGATGAAGTCGTTTTCATTGGGATTTTTAACAAAATCAGTGGCTTCAAACTCATCTAATCTATAAACAATGTTATAATCTATAGATTTCTGATTTGAACCTGGGGATTGCTGATGCATTTTAGATAATCAATCACTTGTGATTTTTGTTCATCAAAATTTCGATGAATCAGCAATGGTTGATATCAAAATCTAAAAAGAATTCCATAGATTTCATCGCTCATCTTATTCTTACTGTACTTAAAAAAAAACATGTGATCAATCGCAAATGGATTGTTTATGCGTGGAGAGTACAGTAGCGGCTAGTCAACCTGAGCTCGTTGACTGCCAATCTGGAATCAGCTGTATCACTGCTCCTTCCCCCCCCCCCCCCCCCCTCTTTTTTTTTTATAGATATTACTATTACTCCCTCATTTACCCAAAAAAACATAAATTCCATATTTTACAACATCCAAATAATCTTTTATTAAACTAGAATCGTATTGTGTATCCGCACCATATTGTGTATCCGCACCATGAAGCATTATAATTATATATATATATATATATATATATATATATATATATAGACTTGGGATCATGTGAGACCAAGAGTTTTTCATGAGACCCGTAAGACCAAWTCTCAACCTTTGGATTAGATCTACAATCTCAACATTCATAATCACAAAATTGCCACGAGACTTCTCAATAATCACAAAATTGTCACCGTACAACTTTAGATCATTAAATCATTAGCTTATAAAGTTCATCAATGAACATAAATTGGTCTTACGGGTCTCACGAGAAACCGTTGGTCTCACGTGAACCCAACCCTATATATATATATAGGGTCCCATTAAAGGGAGAACTGGTTAGTTTGTGGTAACCGTGAGATCCAATCTCAACCACAAATCAATAGATAAATTAGGAAATTTATAATTTTGGTAATTTTAATTAAAATTTTAATGCAAGGACATTTTAGGTATTTTATTTCCTCTCTCCTCTCTTCTCTCTTCGTCCCCGTCTTCCGGCCACCATCCTCCGATGATACCACAGTGTGATACTCAAGCACATATAAGATGCATTGTGATACCACTGTGTTACATATCTGATCGACCACACAAACGACCACAGTGTGATACCCAATCACATATATGATGCATTGTGATACCACTGTGGTATCACCGGAGGACGGTGGTCGGAGGCCGGGGGACGGAGAGAGAAGAGAGGAGATAGGAGAGAGGAGAGAAAATACCTAAAATACCCTTCCATTAAAATTTTAATTAAAAATTATCAAAATTATAAATTTCCTAATTTATCTATTGATTTGTGGTTGAGATTGGACCTCATGGTTACCACAAACTAATTAGTTTTCATTTGATTAACCCCCTATATATATATATATATATCGTCTATCTTGATTTTATTTTATATATTTGTATAATTATAAGAAAACAAAAAAAGGTTTTAAAATAAGTTATATCAACATGTGTATTAAATTAAAGATAATAAAATACTCATATTTTTAATATATTTTATTTAATTTAAAAATTAATTATATTTAAGATCAGATTTTTTAGATTGAGATAAATTTGTGGTTTCCAAGACTTTATTCGTTCATATAAAAAGGGTAATACGAGTTCCAAAAACCTTTTTTTTATATTCTTATTGTTTATGGTAAAATATGAATATTCTAAAAATTGAAAGAGTTTGTATGTATTGTTGATTTTTACATAATGCTATAATACTTGTATTTTTTTTAGAATTAAGAGTTTTTAAGAGGTAGGGGACGTTCTTTTGAGAATTCATGAAATTGTGATAATCTTGAGAACTTGGGCATCATGTGTAATTTTGTATGTTTTTTTCATCTAAGACTAGTATTTAGAATAGTTATTAACATATATTTGTTTCACATGTATTCGGTTCACAATATGAATCTATTTTGACATGTCTGTGAAACAAAAAGTACACGCAAAAATATTTCACATTATGAACCGAATACATATAAAACATATTGTGAAACCAATATATGTTAATCAATACATTAAATATTATATTTGGATGGAATAGAATCATGTGAAACAAAATCTTAAAGTAGAAGTTCTCACGAATCTTACAAAATAATAAAATCATTAGATGATTAAGTCCTAAGTGGTAAACTTAAATGCTATATAATATAGTATGGATAGAATTATAAAGATTTATTTAATAATCAAAATTTTTAATTAGATTATGAACCAAATTGTTGTATATATTTGAAGTGGGGATTAGTATGAACGTAACCATGTTTGGTCCATATATAGCTTTAGGAAATGATATTTTTTTTATAAAATATTTAATAATTGTGGACCAAATCAATAATATCCAATTTATTTATGCGATAATAAAAAAATAGATGATATGGTCAAAGTATTTCAATGTTTATTCATATTGCTATGTTATAATTAGATTTTTTTGAACTTGCCGATATAAAGACTTGACACGGTTCAGTTCACAAGTAATAATGGAGTTACGTCTACAAAAACTATATAATCGAATATATATATAGGGACCCATTCAAGGAAGAACTGATTAGTTTGTGGTTTTCTGTGAGATCCAATGTGAATCACTAGTTTGAGATATTTAAGGATATTTTTTAAATAAACTAAAAGAGTAATATAGTAATTCTATTTTTGACAACTAATTAAAATATTTAATTAAATTTTTTAGAAAGAAATATTTAATTAAAATTAGTTACCTAGTATATCAATTACCTAATATACATCGTATTTTAAAGACGTTTGTAAATCAAAGTATATCATAGTGATAACGTTCATAATGTTTAACATGTATCACAATGTATTTTCTTTGTTTTATGAAATGTATTATAGTGTGCATTTTCGTTATTTTCATTGATTTACAAAGGATATTACATTGTGCATTTTGTATGTATATCTGGGTATCACAGTGAAGATCGTTTGTAGATATCACAGTGTGTATCTTGTGTTCACATAAAGTTCATCGGAATAAAGCTCGCCGAATAAGATTCACCAGAGAGAGGGGAAAGAGGAGAGATGAGGGAGGATATTTATAAAATCCCTAAAATGCTCTTAATTAATATTTTAAGTTAAAATTTCTAAAATTATTAATTTTCTAATTTAACCTTTGATTTGTGGTTGAGATTAGATCTCACGGTTACCACAAACAAAACAATTCTCATTTGATCTGACCCTATATATATATATATATATATATATATACATATATATATATATATATATACATACATGGTTCATTTGTAAACATTTAAATGATTTTATCGAGTGTTTTTTTTGAAGGATTGATAATATGACATAAGATTACTTATTAGTTATGACATATATGTTACTGATATTCTTATGTCATTTAGCTATCTTCAGTTACTGAACAGTCTTTTTAGTAACAAATATGCAATTTCTGCATCTAACAGTTGTTCCATATCAAATAACTATGTTTTAGCATTTGACATCATGCATATTGAGTATTTGTTGTTAAAATTGAAAGGACTGCTTACTATTTTGTTTTTTACTTTCGTAGAGAACTATGGTACCTGATTTTTTTTATTAATTAAGTTTATAGAATGCAAATCCATTTTCATTTTTCACATACGTTTATATTGGATAAAACTCACCCTTGTGAGAAACTGAAGCGACCAACAACACCCGCCGTTGGTGACCGAGCRAGGATGATCTTATTCATGATCGGCTAAGTCGAAAAGCAGATGTGATAACATCAAGAGAGATTTCATATTCTATGATAAAATAGCTAAATTATTTTGTCAACTTGACCCTCCTACCTAACCATTATTGTTGCTGGTAGATAGAAAAGTCCTTATCTCCCCTAAGTGTTCCTCTATGGGTAGATAAGACAAATGTTGCATGAAGTGTTAGATTATTGGGTAGAGTCTTTAATCTTCAATAATGCTAAACAGCTGAAGTCACAAAACTATGAAATCCTGTGGATCTAATTAATGTTTAGTAAGGGTTACAATGAACAATAAATAAGCTTCATTTCCTTTTGTTTAGGTAAAGTCTAGTTTGGTAATGGTGATATTAGGCATTTTAGCCTTTCTATAACCATAACGGAACTCTGTGAGAAATTAGTATTGAGAGACTAATTTCTTAAGGTATAATGAGAAGATCTCTCTAGGAATTGATCCATTTGTTAACCCATTTTGTAAGTAGGAGCTTAGATACACCCTCACGCAACACATTAAATTAACAATCCGTCGTTATTAAGAGAATAACTAGAAGATGGAATCTTCTAACATCAAGTAAAAATCAAGGCATACTGATATCGTCGACAGTCAATTCATTGGTCATGCAGATGCATGCTGATATGAATCTTTTCCTTTGCATCAAGTGAGGCAAAGCTCTTGAAAACTTACTGGTGGTTTCTGGATCCTCATGTAGAGGTTCACGAGGGACTAGTATCATATAGAATAGTTTCTTGCATGTCACTCATGACCATGGCTCCTATATGTTACTTTTATAGATGAAGTGGGCAAGGCAATGTGGTACATTGTGATATCACATGGGCTCAAGTTTAGCTAATAAAATCATATGTTTTGCTTAGTCATAATTTTTTTATTTATTATATGACTAGAATATATTATGTTCATGGTTTATCCTTACCAAATTTTTTGAACAGTTTCCCCTTTAGCAGTTAATGTATCATCCTCAGATCTAGTTTGACAAATTATGTGGGTTCTTAATGATACATGTTGCTTCCAATGAGCATTTGTAATTTTATGTTTCCGCAGGAAACATAAAACCAGGTACAAATACATCAAAATATATTGTTTGGTACTCCCTTCATCCCATAAGTATCATTCCTTTGGCCTTTCATATTGATATAAGTTGTTTATGCTGAATGAGCAAAATACCCTTGCATAACTTATGGACTAAAATGAATAAACTACTGCTGTAATGATTATGTGGGGCTAATGGTAATTTGACTTTAACAGCTTCCCATGGAGAATATGTTGCAATTCTTGTTGGATGTAGATAGAATTAAAATGTTTAACCAAATTTAAACCATCAGCATTTGATCTTTTGTTACAATGCAGAGCTTTGAAATCCCAGAACATCTCAACTGCTATTCCACCAGAGTTTTCCAAGCTTCGGTACCTTAAGGAATTGTAAGAAAAATCTCCTGCACAATGAGACATTAATCAATGGAACTGTACCTCCCCAACGGAATGACCATAGTAAAGATGATAATTGTGGTGTTTTAATAATGCAGGGACCTCAGTCGTAACTGCCTCAATGGAACTATACCTCCCCAATGGGCTACAATGCGCTTGGTTGACCTGTATGGACCACCCAACCATCTATAACTGCCATTACCAATTTTTTTGCCTGTGAAGAATTATTTTATCGTGATCATTTATCGAATCAGCATGCATTACATTTTAAATATTCAGTCTCGTGACTTACCTCTAGTGTTATATACGATTATTTATTGCTAAGTAAGCATGACTGCATGAGTAATGAGTAATCTTGAAATTAATTTATTCAAGTCTGAATCAGGTTAAACAAGTATAAGACAGACCTATGTCTGAACTTAAAGATTGAAGTTCTGTTTGAAAAAACATTTCGGTTCATCCCTATCAATAAGAGAAGATGATTTGAATCAAATTGCTCTTTTCTTAGTCGAGTGTAAGAATATACCTTGTGGACGTCTAAAAATCTTTCTGTTTCGGAAGCCTTAAAAGCGTACAGCTAACTTGAGTGGTCAAACAATTAAATAAACCATACAGTTGCATTTTTAGTTTTTGTGAAGGCATAGTAGTGCTAAACCCTCATGGGATAACTCTATTTCCTATGTGCTAAATTCTGTATTTGAACATTTGCGAACCCTTTGGTTAAAAAAATTCTACTTTTATTTCTCTACCGAGTAGAATCAGCTAACTTTCGTTTAAAAATTATCAATTCTGAGGGTGAAGATTACTCCTTTTTTTTACCATGCCACACGTCTTTTTAAATTGCAATCTTTTTTTCATCACCTTAGAATAGTCTCATATGTTTGTAACAACATAATTATGTTAACTTCTTAACTATGTATATATGCAGCTCTCTCATGGGAAACCGATTATCTGGCCCATTTCCAAGAGTTCTCACCAGAATTACCACCCTTGTAAATCTGTAAGCTACATCACTCCTCCTTTTGTTGTTCGAATACAAAGCATAGGAAAAAATAAAATAGAATGAAAAACATGATGTGGCTTTACTTCATTTTGAACGTTGCTTCAACATTTTGTAGGAGCATGGAAGGAAATCGTTTTTCAGGATCCCTACCCCAAGAGATTGGGAACATGAAAAGTTTGCAGAAACTGTACTAATCTTTCACCTTTTCACCCTGTTTTCTTGTGCTTAAAACACCCATAAAGAAAAATAATAGATTGAATCGTAAATTTCTCTTAAGTTTTGCCTAAAAAAAGTTATCTATATTTATGTAAAACTTTGTATTCCCAGCACTCTATGTTCAAATGCTTTCACTGGACAGCTGCCTGCTGCACTTGCAAAACTTACCAACCTCACTGATCTGTGAGTATTGATCTTGTAAACTTGGATGTTAATGTATAGAGGTTCACAACTTTTTCTCGACTCTTCTTACTATTTTACAATTTTAGGAGGATATGTGACAATAATTTCACTGGAAAGATACCAGACTTCATTGGCAATTGGACAGAAATTGGGAAATTGTAAGAACCTTTTATCTATGGAGTTGGAAATTTCCACCAGTTGATAGGGATGCATTATTCTAAAAACGTTTACATTTGGTTTATGGTGCAGGCATATACAAGGTTGTTCTCTTGAGGGGCCAATTCCTTCTAGCATCTCTGCCTTAACAAAACTAACTGATCTGTATGCAATTCTTTTTACCTTCCTTCTCTCAATTTTGTCTTACATCCAATGACGAAGCTGAATATACAAAGTGATTGATTCCTATTTCCTTCTGTTTCTTTTAACTATACTTTTCTAAAACCTAGAAAGTTAATCTGTATAATACAGAATATGATAAACATATATGATTAGACTGATAAATATACAAATTCCAGAGCTGGTAGTGGTCTTCATAAAATAGCCCACTGTGGTAAGGGATATTGTTTCTTCATTTTCAGAGTTCTCTACTAGCTATAAAATAAAGGACCTAACAAGATCTTATTGAGGGTATGAGAAATATGAAAGATACAAATCTGGGCCAACAGCAGAAACCTGAAAAATAAAAGAATTCAAACATCCTATATATCTAATATTTTCTCTTGCGTTACAGGAGGATCAGTGACTTGAAAGGTAGAGGATCTAGTTTCCCGCCAGTGCAGAAGATGGAAGCACTGAGTAAACTGTGAGCTTTGATTTTTGTATGATGATCCATTTGTTTTAGGAGTCATGTGGAGATATTAATTATGATCTGGAAATACACAGGATACTTAGGAATTGTTTTATCCATGGGACAATCCCCAACTACATCGGGAATATGAGAAAAATGAAAACTCTGTAAGTAATTGAGAATATGCTACTTTCCTTCTCTTCTGGGCTACTGTTAGAAGTTATCGTCTGTACATTTTGAGAAATACAACACACAAAAATTTAGATGCCAAAGTAGCATGATACCATAATAGCATAATGATGATCCTCAGATCAAAACTATTAAAAGAGAAGTCCACAAAAAAATATATAAACTTTAGAAGCTTTATACTAATCGAGCTATAATTAATGAAAAGTTATAGTTCGTAGTAGTTTCACTCGTCATGTATCATTTAAAGATCAAATTTATATTGTATCGAGCTTATTCTTGATATCTTCTTTTGATGCAGAGACCTTAGTTTCAACAACTTGACTGGTGAAATCCCACCATCTTTTTCCCAACTAGGAAAAACAGATTACATGTAGGTGAATTATCTTCAACAATTGTGTCTTGTCTTTTAATAGTCACAGTCAATTTTCTAAGGGCGAATACTTCTTTATAGTTACTTGACACAAAATAATCTTACTGGACCTCTGCCTGGATGGATCTTTTCAAGCACCAAGACAGTGTAAGGATAATCTTCCCTTCTATATATCATTTACTATATGATTTAGTTCAATATTTTTCATTTAGTGATTGTGCTTCTGTAATTATGCCTTTACAGGGATGTTTCTTATAACCATTTTACTTTGGGTACTTCTGGTCCAAATGACTGTCCACGAGAAGGGACAATGTAAGTTGTTCTCATGTTTCTTAAAAAAATTTCTCATAGCAAAGGGCCACTAGATCACTCCCACCTGGATTTGCCTTCGGTTTTATGTTGGAAACAGCCACTCTACTCTTTAGGGTAGACGTCAGATTCGTGTACATCTTACCCCCCCCCCTTCCCCTGCCGATCCCACCTCCGGGTGGGATAATACTATTCTCGTTTGGTTTGGTTTGGTTTTATGTTGGATGTTTATGCTTAATGTAAAGAAACTTTTCACTACTTGACTCAGAAACATGGTGGAGAGCTATTCTTCGTCAGCAAATAAACAGTAAGACACCTGACCCTAACTGCATTTGATGTCACACGAACAACATTGAGTGTTGTGAAAGCATCAAAACAACATGATGACTTGTTTGTCTTGTACTTCTCATGTAGAAACAATATTCACTCATGTCTAAAGAAAGATTTCCCATGTCCTAATTCGGCTAGACAGCGTGAGTAAAGTATAAACATCATTAATTACAGTATCTATTAACTCCATCCTAGATCTTAATTAAATTGTCATCTTCTCCATCAGCCTATTCTCTATACATCAATTGTGGAGGCAGAGAAGTGAACATCAATACCGCCACCAAATACCAAGCTGATTTAGAGGCAAAAGGTGCCTCAACATATTACATGGGGCGAAACTGGGCATTTAGCAGCACAGGGAACTTCTTAGATGATGACATCGATTCTGATCTCTACATTCTTCCCAACACATCTAGTCTCCATAACGTGTCCACATCTGAGACACGACTGTATACAACGGCACGCACGGCCCCCATTTCTCTCACTTACTATGGACTCTGTCTTATAAATGGGAACTACACTGTCAGACTCCACTTTGCAGAGATTATTTTCTCCCAAGACAACACATTTAACAGCCTTGGGAAGCGTGTATTTGATGTTTATGTACAGGTGATTTAACTATTAGTACAAGAATGGATGCATATGCAGCTTTAAACAGGAATTTTAACATCTTTTTATGAAATTTTAATGTAGGGGGAGTTGAAACTAAAGGATTTTGATATCGCAAAGGAGGCTGGAGGTACTGGTAGGCCAGTTATAAAGACATTCATAGTTAATGTGACAAGTAAGACAGTCAAGATTCAACTTTTCTGGGCTGGAAAAGGCACTACTGGAATTCCTCTTAGAGGAAGTTATGGTCCTATTATATCTGCTATATCAGTTGATCCGAGTAAGTCATTCTTCATTTCCCAGCACTTATTTCCCAACAATCTCTTGTCTCTAGACTTAAAGATTGCATAAATGTGTTATCAATCACTTTGATCCAACAAAAAAGACGAAAAGGGAGGTATGCTTTGAGTTAATATGGATTTGCTAAAAGTTAAACGACACCAACATTTTTCTAACCAGAATTGGTTACTTGGTTTCCCACCAATTTCTCGTCTCTAGGTGTGAAGATTACATAAATGTATTGTTACTACTTAATATCTCTTGTCCAACAAAAAAAAGATGGAGATATGCTTTGATTTTTGATGTCAAAGATATATGAATTGTTATTTCTTGAAGTATAATATTAACCGTTAAAAGTTACATAGCACCAACATTTTTCTAACTGCAATATTTATTATGATATTCAGTGTAATAAATTTTTTTAGTGAAATTTAAAGACAGTATACAGATTTGTAGTTGTTGTTTTCCATGTGACCCCAAAGCTCAAAGTATGCATCTTTAACATATAAGAACACCAATCAAATATATCTTGATCTGAGTGATTCCTCCCTCATTGTTTGACGGTTTATTTTATGGTATTTATGAACTAAATGCATTATGAAGTCAGCTGATGATGTTATAACTTGGCTCATCGTTGCCTTTGTTACCTTGCCTTGTACAGACTTTAAACCTCCAGTTTATGGAAAAAAGATTGAGGTTGGTTTAATAGTTGGGACAGTTGCTGGAGGACTGTTTTTTATATTTTTAATCCTTCTCATCTTGTGGAGAAAAGGCTACCTTATGGGTAAAAAAGCAGCAGATAGAGGTACACCTCTCGAACTCCATCATGATTTTATATTTTCTTCTGTTCCCAATTAGTACTGTGAAAATATATGGAACCCCATCAAATTACTCTCCAAAATAGCCCTTGAGGAGAGAAGGGAGGTTCCAACATATATTAAGGAAAAATAGTCCAAGGCTAGCCAATACCAGACTCTAACATGCCCCCTCCAAAGGACAACAAACGGGTGAGGAGGATAGACGAGTACAAATTGCCCCTAGCGGTAAACTTGGCTATGATACCGTGTGAAAATATGTGGAACCCTGTTAGATTACTTTTCAAAAGAGCCCTTGAGGAGAGAAGGGAGGTTCCAACAGATATTGAGGAGTAATAGTCTTAAGTCTAGCCGATGTGGGACTCTTACAAGTATCTTCTGGTGGTTTTGATCACTAATGGCTTTATATTAAAACAACTAGTCACAAGACTTCATATACAACATTTGTTATTTGACAGAGCTTAGAGGTCTAGACCTGCAAACAGGCATATTTACTCTAAGACAGATAAAAGCTGCAACAAAGAACTTTGATCTATCAAACAAGCTTGGAGAAGGTGGCTTTGGTGCCGTTTACAAGGTGGGGTGTCAATTGATTGAAACACAAGTTCAAAAACATACATTTTATTTATTTTGTGTTGCTACTAAACCATCCTTTGTGTAGGGTCTATTGTCTGATGGGACAATAATTGCAGTGAAGCAACTATCGTCAAAGTCTAAACAAGGAACTCGTGAATTTGTCAATGAAATTGGCATGATTTCGGCACTGCAACACCCAAATCTTGTGAAACTCTACGGATGTTGTGTTGAAGGGAACCAGTTGTCGTTGATTTACGAGTACATGGAAAATAACTGCCTATCTCGAGCCCTTTTTGGTGAGCTTACAATATTACTTGGCCAAAAGTTTTTGGAAAAGAAACATCTTGTTTGCACTAATGTACTCCCTCCGTCCCAAGTAGGGGTTCACTTTCAAAAGTAAGCGCCTACGTTCCAATTCTACCCTTAATTTTGAGATGTTGAAATTTATTACTCTTACTATTAACAGTAAAATTGTCATTTAGTTAATCAAAAGGTGTAAGAATTACACATTTCTAAAATTGTCGGCCTTTTTCATTATGGACATTTATTTTGGGATGGAGGGAGTATTAAATTCTATGGTGCCTAGACCCTACCTCCGTATGGGATTTACCAGGTTCGTTTGGTTTATTAAATTCTATGGTTGTGACAGCGCGAGACAAAGTGTCGAAAGCAAAGCTAACATGGCCAGTGAGGTGGAAAATATGCCTAGGGATAGCCCGAGGTCTGGTTTATCTCCACGAAGAGTCACAACTGAAAATAGTACATAGAGACATCAAGACTAGCAATGTGTTGCTTGATAAAGATCTCAATGCAAAAATATCTGATTTTGGTTTGGCAAAGCTTAACGATGACGGAAATACCCACATCAGTACTCGTATTGCAGGAACCATGTATGTTTTCTTGCTTTCTCTTTTCTCATTATATACCAGCCAAGAACTGCTTTCGGGTTGAATATATTGGGTTCATTTGGTTTGGTTTTATGCCGGTCAATAACCGTGCTTTGGTTCACAGAGGTTATATGGCTCCAGAGTATGCCATGCGCGGTTACTTGACTCCTAAAGCAGATGTTTATAGTTTCGGAATCGTTGCTTTAGAAACGGTTAGCGGAAAAAGCAACACCAACTACAGGCCCAAAGAAGACTTTGTTTACCTTCTTGATTGGGTAAGGATAATCTCCATATTTGGTACTCCCTCTTTCCTAAAATAAGTGTCCACATTTCTATTTCAGTTTGTCCCGAAATAAGTGTTCGATTTCAAAAGTAAATGTCTGTTTTCCGATTCTACTCTTAATTTGAGATGGAGAACTTCATTACTCCGTAGGGGTAAAATTGTCATTTAGTTGATTAAAGTGTATAATTACACATTTCTTAGACTGCGTGCCTTTTTTCATTATGGATATTTATTTTGGGACAGAGGGAGTACATCAACTCTTTGCAACTCATCAAGTGGACAAGAGTGTACGGTTTGACTTTGAGGTCAAACCAACTGATTTTCTTCATCAAGAAACCATAAAAATTCAGCATGTTATTAAAAAAAAATTAAGAACTCCATTCAACATTACAAGAATACCCCTGACTAAAAACTCCATGCCCGTTTGACCAAAAACTCCATGCCTGTTTTGATTCAGAAATTAATAGCTTTGACCTGGAAAAAGTCAAAGTATAAGGAGTTGTTTACTACTTGCCGACTTATGGTAAGAAGGGATCTCGTTTGCCAGTAAGAAAGGGTTACTTTCTAACTTGGTCAATTCTTCGGTTAGCGCTTACCTACACACTCCATAAACAATCATTTTCAGTTAACGCTTACCCAAACTGTACTCTTACTCATAAACACTAACGCAATTTGTGTTGGTAAATGGCCTCTAAAAATTATTTGTTTGTTTGGCAGGCATATGTTCTACAAGAAAGAGGAAGTCTCCTAGAACTGGTTGATCCAGATTTGGGGTCCGAGTATTTGCCAGAGGAAGCAATGACGATGCTGAACGTAGCGCTTCTGTGTACGAATGCATCGCCAACGCTTAGACCAACAATGTCTCAGGCCATGAACATGCTCGAAGGTCGAACCAACGTTCAAGATTTGCTATCGGACCCTGGGTTTTCGACCATCAATCCAAAGGTGAAGGCCTTAAGAAACCACTTCTGGCAACATCCAAGTGAAACCCTCACCATGAGTGATGACCCATGTACTGAGTCCTTGCTCTCTCAATCATAGATAGGCCAAGCAAACCAATTACTAACACTCATGGTTTGATGTGTATATAGACAAAAATGAGAAAACTCATAATTGTAACAATCTACAAATACTGTTACTATTATCACAAGACACAAAACTCACCAAAGGATGAGTTTTCAACCTTTTTTCTAGCTTAATATATACATGTTCGGCTTTACCTTAGTGGATAAGGAGGTGAATATCCTTGCAACATGACATAGAAGTCTGGGGTTTTAAGCATAGATGGGCGTTTGGGTTCGGTTAAGACCAGTTATGCAATTTTCTTAAGAATGCCGGTAAACTTTGGCACTTTGCGACTTTTTAGGTGGGCATTTTGGGTATGGGTTTGATATGTTTTTAAGTGATCGGTGGAACAAGATTGGAATAGGAAAGTTTGGCATTGATGGTTTTCTTATAAGGTCGTTGTACCGGTAGGATGAAAATGCTTCAAAAGATGATATAAAAAAATGACTTATTCGGTAAGTTTATGTGATAAATTTTATGCAGAAAGCCAAGTCTTTTTCAAACCTGTCATTTCCAACTAAAAAGTACGCTCCTTTTATATATGAAAAAACTCTCATAAACAAAAACCTTTCTATTCATACGGACAACATTATCTATAACTTAATAAAAAACTAAAAAACATCCATGAGTTTGGTAGGAGATCCATGAAATAGACCATTGGCCATAAAGTATGAATATAGGTGATGTATGAGCATTAAGTATAGGTTGCAAATATGGTGGGTTCTTTGTAATCAAATATAATATTAACCATAAACTTTAAAGATGATGGAGCATGCATGGATTCTTTTTTTACTCTAAACTTTAACAACTCAATGATTAATGTCTAAATAAATTTAAAAGCAAAATGTATAAAAATTCAACAAAACAATTTTCATAGCGTTTTGTTGTGAAGGTTTAACTTTTTTTTTATTTTCACGACATTTTACTGTGAAATTTCAAGTATAAAAAAATGGATCTCACACCCGAACAACTCCTAACTTTTTTTTTAATTGAGACACAACCCTATATATTATAATAATATCTAATAATATAATATATAATTTATATATGTATACACACCAACAGAAAAAGGAGCTACTTTATTGAAACCTAACAATTCCCACACAATTCATTGAAAAAGAGGGAACAAAGTAACGTGTGTGGATCGATCTCTTCACCAAATCCAGAATCCAGAAAAATCCCAATCTCTCTCTAAGCGAATCAAAATCTGAAACGCATATTCATCATCAGGGATTTATAAACCTATTATACGATCATATACATGCAGATCATATATATGCAACAAGGTTTCTGACAGACTTATACACAGGAACACAGATTTGGAGCCAAAAGTTTGTAATACGCATGAGCTGGTTGGTAAATCTGGGTTGCAATTCTTCGAATTCAAATCACTTCATCACTTGTCTTCTTCTTTTTGTTCTACATCACTCACCTCAATTGTTGCCTACTTCCCTTTTTCAATTCGACAAACCCTTGGATCATAGAAGTCTCTTACACTTGTCTTACTCTTTTCTTCCTCACAAATTAATCCCGTTGTTTGATCCAACATCATCATCGCAACATGGGTTCAGCAAGAGACAAGAGTAATCCCCAATCCAAACAAGGTACATCTCTCTTCAATTTTGTTATTTTTTAGGATTCGTGTTACTTACTATTGATTAATTCTTCAATTCATTTATGGGTTTGGGTTCAGTTTTGTGGATCTTCTTATGTAGAGAACATAGTACACTAGTATGTTATCGCTTAGTTGTCTTTCAATTTCAAAATTGATATGAACATATTTGATTTTTGAGTGGAAATCAACTGCTACATCAAAGTTACAATTGGTATTACTAATGTAAAAGAATAAACTGTAGCGGAAAGGGAAAGCAACCACTACAAGGACAGATAACAGGTTAGATTATTTGTGGTTATGATAGACTTAACCCACACACAACGGTTTTTTAGAGGAATTATGCATAGTGTGTGCCCTCTCCCATGATTTCACGCACGTGGGGAAGTATTATTTGAGGTATCCCACATACTATGATAAGTAGCTGTCATGTATTATTTAGTGAGCATGCTTCATGACAACCAATCCCCTATAGCTCATCCGTTTGGACTCTACTTGGTGTGTGTTCACCTTTCTGTAACACCCTTTTATCATGAGATGGACTGAATTCTACCACCACCACATATATTGGGTTTACAAGTGGTGGGGCCAACTCTGAAAATATACATTATCGTGTCTGCATTCCAGTCACATTCTGAAAATATACATTATCGTGTCTGCATTCCAGTCACATTCTGCTGTGGTCCCTAACACGGCATTTATGTCACTGGGGTAGCAAATTTTGAAGAAAGAAACTTCTTGTAAATTCTTTTGCGYTCGCACACACACATATGCATTTTTATTTGTGCATGCATGTACATATGTATGTATTATGTGTGTGTATGATATTCACTCTTTTGAATTTGTTGAAGCTTTAAACTCTAAACCTTTTATGGATGATCTCGTTCTTCAGTATCTATCCTGAATGGTTGTGATGAATCAAGCCTCATTCTCTTTACCAACTTAATTGTTTAAGTTGTAAAACTGTAAATTCATGGTATAATTTTGAGGCACTCATTATTGAGTAGTTTATTATTAGTATAAAGGTTTTATAAGCGGAATCATGCTGCTACAAAATGACAATCAGAATTTTCAGTTCTAGGAACTTAACTTCTAATTACATATAAATTGAGAAAATAAAGTGAGCCAACAAATGAGGCATGATGGTTTCTTTGTAAAGGTTGTAGTATGTGAATTTATGATGGGTGAAATAGTATGAAAACCTGGTAAGAAAACCATTTTACTTTTGACTCTCTTTAGAATGGATGCTGATCCATAGCTAACATTTTCTATGGAGCATTTCTTAACTTGCTGGTGTTTTGACTTATCAAATCTATCCTACAACTGAAACTAATTCACTCTATCCACCCTTCAACAGAGCAGATCAAAGAAACCATATGATATCTGACATTAATCCATCTTATTGACCCTTCTAGTGGATGGACTATGCCTAAAATGCAAAGTGGATAGGTTGTTTCATTGTAGGGGTTGTTATGTGTGAACTTATGATGGGTGGCCATCCATAGCTAACATTTCCTATGGAGCATTTCTTAACTTGTGGTATTTTGACCTTTCAAACATATCCTACGGCTGAGACTAAATTATTCTATCCACCCTTTAACAGACCAGATCGAAGAACCCATTTGATATCTGACATTAGTCCGTCATATTGACCCTTCTAGTGCATAGCATATGATCTAAAATGCAAAGTGGATGGGTAATTCTTTGTAAGGGTTATAATATGTGAAGTTATGATGGGTGAAGTAGTAATAAAAACCTGGTATGAAAACCATTTTACCTTTGACTCACTTTAGAATGGATGGTGATCCATAGCTAACATTTGCTATGGTCAATTTCTTCACTTGCTGGTGCTTTAACCTTTTAAACCTATCCTACGGCTGAAACTAGTTCATCCTATCCCCCCTTCAACAGAGCAGATCAAAGAATCCATGTGGTATCTGACATTAATCCATCTTATTGAACCTTCTAGTGGATAGCCTATGCGCTAACAAAGTGGATAAGGTGTTTGCTCTTGATAATGAATAACCGTATTTGAGCTGATGTGGATCAGCATCCCTTTAAAAATGCTTCAGTTTCAGAAACAATGAACAGTTTGTATAACATGGCAATTGTATATAAGAAAAGTACAAATGGTTTATAGCTTTGGTCAATGTGTACTTGAATGTAAAGGTAGGAGTGCATGCATCTCTACTTGTAAACATGCCTCATAACGTACAGACAAGCGACTTGTACTTCATGTGAAGTCCTTTTTGTGAACTTGTCCCAAATATGTGGTGCTATATGTTGAGAATTATTGAGGGGTGTGTGAATTTGTCAACTTTAGGGCAGTTCCACTGCATGCAATCTAATTCTGGTTTCCTCCTTAAATTGTAGCAATTTGCTACTCAAATGTTGAAGTGAGACGTTCAGCCTCGCCATCTGTTATTGTGATCGGCGGTGGCTTTGCTGGCATAGCTGCTGCGCGTGCGCTTCATGATGCTTCAATTCAGGTACTCTAGAGAAACATCATTTGCTTCAGATGTTCAGATGATAATACTTATCTAGTGACATCCTATTTGAAGGTTAACCATACACAGGCATACAAGAAAATATCATTTATGTCATGTTTTTCAGGTTATCGTACTTGAATCTCGTAATAGAGTTGGTGGTCGGGTTCGTACAGATTACTCCTTTGGTTTTCCTGTGGATTTAGGTGCATCATGGTGAGAAGGGATTTCATAATCTTGACTGTTTGAATATAAATAATTCCATCTTGTGATTCCTTCTAATTGTACTTTAATGTCAATTTTTACAGGTTGCATGGGGTTTGCAAAGAGAATCCCTTGGCACCAGTTATTGGAAGACTTGGACTACCTTTATACCGGACAAGTGGTGACAACTCAGTGTTATATGACCATGATTTGGAGAGGTGATGGAGTTCAAATTTTCATATTTAATGTATGTTGTTAGGTCCATTTCTAGTTTGGTTATATGGTAGGAGGAGGTGAGTGTATTGCTTTGTTATTGTAGTTTTTATTGGTTGGAAATGCTATTCTCCGCAAATACACAATGAAAATTAGTTATCAAATGAACTTATGCTCATTTAGATTCTAGAAAAGATAAAGAAAAGTAGAAAGATACTGAATATTTTCACTATCTTGAGCCCTATACAAGCCCAAATTTACGAGCAACATTCTTGTAGGGTCTTTAATACTATGGACAATGGACCTGCTTTTTTGGCCAAAAATCTGCTTTGTCATCGGGTACTTTTTTAAAGTTCTGTGGTTTAGTGAGATGCCATAACCATATGATATGCTTAAAATCAAGAACGACTATCTCACTCAAGTTATGTGGTTTAGTGGAGATGCCATAACCATAACATATCTAATAGGATCATTGGATAGCTCCTACTCATTGCCAGGTGCTAGCATAACATTTTTTTTCATGTTATACCATGAGATTGACAATATTTATAATGGCATATTCCTTTCCGAGTGGTCCTAAAATCACTTCATGTTGATACACAGAGGAGACATAGGGAAAGTACAACCCATAAATCATGAAAACAGTGGGATTCCAGTTAAAATACATGTAATTAATGTTATAAAGACATTCAAGTACTAGTGATTGAACTTGCATTTATATCTTGTAAGAATGTTCCATGGTCCAGCTTCACAATTCTAAGAATATATTAGATCATGCACATGACTTGGAAGCTGTAATACCATAGTTACTTGAAAACATGTGCATATTTACCATGTGGGACTGCTGGACTGGTGATAAGCACTTTTGTGCTTTATTTTCGAAGATGTTAAAACACATCATTAATAGTAACAGGGTGCAGAAAGCATACCTTTGAATTTCAGTATGTTATATAAGATGGATGAGTTAATCCAGAATTCCCAAATGATCATTGACACTGTTAGACGATAGTGATTGGTCTACACAAGGATAGTATATCATCTAAAGTTGGAAAAAATCAGGATATGTTTTTAAGCATCTTTATGAAGTTGAAGAAAAACTAAATTTATGCAGCGGGACTTTAAACAGAAGCAATTAAAGGTGGAAGATTATCTATATCTAGTGCTGTTTTCTAGTCCTCAAATTTCAATGTAGGCGTAGCAAAATGATTGTCTGAGAAAAAAACATATTCAAAGAACTTGATGTCATTATGAACATTGGATTTTAATAATGTTTGAAAGAGAGACTCTGAATTTTAAGGGAAGATGCATGAAATTGAACATACAATTATATGTTTTTAAGCACTACAGAAGAGGGCTAGGAGATGTGATTTGACAACTGTTAAAATTCCACTGTCTATCTTCATTTTGCAGACATTTATTGTTTCCTTTTCTCTCTTTCTTTGAATGTTTCTGATCGTTTTCTCTGTTGGCTGTTGTTCTCCTCTCTTTCACATTCTTCTGTAGGTCTAAATCAACTTCTTCAATTCACCTTTTGTGCCTGCTATAAATGCTAGATTTTTCTGAAGATGGCAGCTATACTTACTAACTGATAGCACACTGAATTTATTTATATGCTTAAATGCTATTTCATTGCTCTAGTTTGTTAAAACTTGGTCCTTTGCTCTCTCATTTCTGTATAGTAACTCTTCCGTTCCTAGAACTTTAACTACTAGTAATTTCTTACTCTGTTTTGAGCCTGGTAGAAAAAAAATGTTATGTTTTATTTTGTTACCATCTTTTCTCTTCATTGGTTCTCCTGTAGACATTAATGGCATTTACTTTAGTACCTTCGTTCTGCAATTTGTTAACTAATATTGAAGTTCTGGATGACCAATAGCTTGTTGATGTACTTCTAATCAATAAGTCACGAAGTTCGTGTAATTTCCCCTCATTGATGTTTGCTTAAATTATTCTTATTGTACTTCTTCAGCTATGCACTGTTCGATATGGATGGGAATCAAGTTCCTCAAGAATTAGTCTCACAGGTTGGAAAAACATTCGAGGCCATATTAGAAGAGGTACGTGCTCTCTCTCTCTTATTTTCTTGTAGCAATGTAGCTTTCTATTTTTTTGTGAAATTTCTTGTTAATCAAATTATAGATGGACCATGGACCATCCCATAGTACCTTCACAAAACCCTGATTTATATTAGCTGACCGCCTTGCCATCTCAAAGAATTACAAGCATCGTGAAAAAAAAACCAGGCTAAGGCTTTTGCTATGTAGCATGTTGTAGACTTAGGGGCTGTTTGGTTGGTTATCCATTAAGTCCTGTATGGATAAAGCTGTCTTTATAGATTAATCTATCTATATCAATCGGGAAGGTTTTTGTTTGGATGGGTTTTTCATAGATGGAAGGAGTGTGTTTTTTAATTGGGAGGGGAAAGTTTAGAAAAAACTTGGCTTTCTGCATAAAGCTCCACCTAGAAGCTTACTGAATAAGCCACTTTCTATATAATTAAGCCACTACCAAACAGTCATGTATAACTGACCGAATAAGCTGTGAGTTTCATTAATCTCATAAAGCTGCTAACAAACAAACCCTTACTTGAAGATAACCCACCCCCACCCCCCAAACAAAGGGCTTGCTTTAACGTGCAAATATACAAACGAACTTCACAACCTTGATAGCAATCATAATGCATATAATAATGTTTCTGAACCTGAAACTCAGTCCCTTACGAGGTTGCACTAATGTTATATCGAGGGCATGTTAAATGGTCAATTGTTAGGCGAAAGTAGTTTTTTTAAACCTTTTTCATCCCTCCTTTCTTTCGTTATTGCTTTCTTTATGTGCTGCTTGATGTATTCCAGACTAATAAAGTGAGGGAGGAGTTCATTGAAGACATGTCTATACATCAAGCAATATCAATTGTGTTCGAAAGAAACCCAAAACTAAGGTATAACAATTTCCCGGATAATCTTCACGATTAATTTGTCATAAGACTCTATAAGGCATGCAAAATTTCATTCTTGCAGGTTGGAGGGGCTTCCTCATAAGGTGTTGCAGTGGTACTTGTGTAGAATGGAAGGCTGGTTTGCTGCAGATGCTGAGACAATATCTCTCAAATGCTGGGACAAGGCATGTTTTTTCTTTTCCTTTAGGCGACTCTTTATAGATATATCATTGACACAACTTTATCATATCTAAGCAACCATAATCGCATCCGGTATTCCTTGTCAGCACCAGAATTCAAATAGTGGTGGTTAATTAGGCCGTTTTACTGGTTAGAAGTTGCAAAATTAATAATAACGATAGCTTTTATCTTAACTAATTTTTTTGGGATTCTTATATTCCCTGTCCAAAAAAATGTGGTAGATACTGCCATTGTGCATTGAGTAGTCGTCTTGTTCTGCTGCTAGGTGTGGCTGTTACAAATAACGCTTAATTGATCACTATAAGAGCATCTCCAACAGATTCTCTATAATTTCTCCAAAAGGAAGAAGCAAAACTTTAAACCTCCAAAAAGAATTACATTCACCTTCAACTGTTTCTCTATTTTGGAGATTTCAACATAAATTATATTATTAAAATGTTCAATAGATTTAATATAGCAATGAACTTTCAAATAAACATTATATGAATTGATAATACATTCAACTTCTAGCTTTAAAGCCAAACTGGCCTTCTACCATCTCATAACTGATTTTTGATGAGCAGGAAGAATTGCTTCCTGGTGGGCATGGACTCATGGTTAGGGGTTATCTTCCAGTTATAAATACACTTGCCAAAGGCCTCGACATCCGATTAGGTCACAGGTAAGACGTGATCAATGCGGTTAAGTTACCTGAGTTTTAATCCCGAGCTCTTTTGTTATACCAAAATTGTAATGAAAAGCAGTTACTGTTTTGTGGCCTTTTAACTTACATCCTCTTTTTTATCCTTATTCCTGTATCGCGAAGGGTTACGAAGATAAATAGACGTAAGAATGGTGTGAAGGTAACTGTTGAAAATGGAAAAACTTTGTTTGCTGATGCGGCTGTTGTTGCTGTGCCGCTTGGTGTTTTGAAGTCGAATACCATTAAGTTCGAACCAAGACTACCTGAGTGGAAGGAGGAAGCCATAGCCGACCTTGGAGTGGGAATCGAGAACAAGATAGTTTTGCATTTTGACAGAGTGTTTTGGCCAAATGTTGAATTTCTAGGAGTAGTTGCGGAGACTTCTTACGGATGTAGCTACTTTCTTAACCTTCACAAGGCCACCGGTCATGCCGTCCTAGTCTATATGCCTGCAGGACAGCTAGCAAGAGATATCGACAAACTGTCGGATGATGCGGCTGCTAATTTTGCTTTTATACATCTCAAAAAGATTCTTCCTGATGCTTCTGCCCCTGTAATATTTGTTTCTTGTTGCATTATATTTGAGGGTGCGTTTGGTATGCGGACTGGACAAGAGTAGACTGAACAGGACTGGTCGGGCGAGAGCGAGCTAGGCGGGTGAAAGAATTGTGGAAGGTTTTAGGGTTTTAATTTGACATGGGTAGTTTAGTAATTTACCAAGCTTGTCTCATCTCCCTAGTGAGACAAAAAAAATGCATTTTTGTCCCACTCAGTCCTGTCCAGTCCCAGTCTAATTGTCACACCAAACGTGAGACTACAAGTTTTGCTTTGTTCTGTCTTGTGACAAACAACCTAGATTCAGTGGTAGAACCGGAACTTATTGTCGTGTTTCTTTTTTATGCAGATTCAGCATCTAGTTTCTCGTTGGGGCAGTGACATCAATTCGCTCGGCTCCTATAGCTACGATGCAGTAGGAAAACCCCATGATCTGTATGAAAGGCTAAGGATCCCTGTCGACAACTTATTCTTTGCAGGGGAAGCGACAAGCACCGACTATCCAGGCTCAGTACATGGTGCCTACCACACCGGACTGATGGCTGCAGAGGACTGCAGAATGCGGGTCCTGGAACGTTACGGCGAGCTCGACCTTTTCCAGCCAGTCATGGGTGAGGACACCCCTGCTTCGGTCCCATTATTGATATCCCGTATCTAAACCTGAATAAGATTTGGTGCAACGGGTAAGGTTCCGGATTTGTGATCGTGATCGGTAGGTCCCGGGTTATTGTAAAATGGAACCATTTCACAAAGATAAAAGAACCTTATGAACCTGTTTGCCAATATGCAGACTGCTTTATGGACAAATAATAAGGTGTAGTGAAACTGAATGATGAATGTGGAATATGGCCAAGTGCCTACCTTATAAAGGGCATTGTGTATAATGAAATGTAGTGATCACATGATCAAATAATAAATGCGTTTTCAACAAAAGATGAATCAAAAGGTGATCTGTTATTAGCATCTTAACGAGTTTAACAGGATTTACCGCTTATTTGGACAGCTATATACGACTGTTTGGTGGTGGTTTAATGATATAGAAAGTGACTTATTCATTAAACTTTTAAGATACTTTATGCAGATAAACATGTCCCTTCTAATTAAAAAAAATATGCTCCTTTCGTCTAGGAAAAAAAACTTCTAACAAAAATCTTTTGAATTAAACAAATAATTTTATCCACACAATAATTTTTTTTTTCGAATAAATACCCCATCAAATAGGAATTAAATAAAATATATGTTATTTTATCATTTAAAAATATATCTTTTTTATTTTATTTATAAAATCCGTTATTTTTCTATTATTTTTTTAGAAAATTATTGTTTCAACCCATTAACCATATTTATAAAACGGATATAAAATAAATGAAAAAGTAAAAAACTGATAATTTGCTTCAATTATTATCACTAATAAAAACAAAGAGGAATTGTTTTGATGTTTTTTTATAAATTATGATGACCATATTCTAATTTAGAAACTGCAGGGACGAAATATGTTATTTTTGACAAATCATAGGGACCAGATTTGTAGTTTACTCAAAAATTAAACAACTGGTCTGAACAATTATACGGAAAAGAGCATTGGAGTGATGATGTTTCCGGGAGTGATGATGCTGACCACCGGTGCAAACGTTGTTCACCGGAGTTCTCCGGCGAGGACAGTGTGCTTGGCTTCCCGGATCGACGCTGATCAATTACGAGATCAACTCGATCAGCTTCACTTTGAGGCATCAAACACTAGAGCTAAAGGTATAATCGCCTTTCTACCTTATCATCAATCGCTTCCTTTGATGTTACAGACACAATTGGCGTAAAATTTGCAATCTTCATTTACATATATATGATTACATATGAGTAAATGAGTTATGGCCATGGTGTGAATATGATTAACTCATCAGAAACCCTAATTCATCAATGGTAGCCTAATACAATCAATACATTCCTTCTCGTTTTCTGCTATGTATATGCTTAATTATTGTAGGTTTTTGCATCACATCTCCTTCAAATTACTATGTGTAGGCTACTTCTATTAGAAATAATTATGATGATGCTTGTTGAATGCCAATTATTGGCAGCAGACCAGCTCTATCTTCATTAAAGAAGTTATGAAATATGGTTATCTCAGCTAATAAAGCAAGACAGAGGTTGTTGCGGTTGTCTGAAGCAGCAGAAAAGCTTCAACAACAGGCAGCCATTAGCGTTCAAGCTGGGAAAGAGAACGATGCTAGAGAGATGCTACTTCAAAAGAAGAAGGCTATGCAAGCTTTAGAGAAGACAAAGAGTCGAATTGAGTTGCTTGATGAGCTCTCAACAAAGCTTATTGAGGTCTGTGGCATCCATTTTAGGCTTCTATATCACCAGTATTATGAAGTTACCCAAAATTGGAATCAAAACAAAGTAGTTTACATTTTCACACAATTTGCCCTGGTAAGAGTTTACAAAGATTTAGAATCCTCATTTCAAGTATGTTATTAGAGTTAACAAGATTTAGATGAGAGCGTGAGCGATATTAGGATGGTGACATTCAAAGAAGTCATCACGTTGCACCCTTTTTTCTTTCCTTCATCTTGTTTTTAAAACGGGTCCAAAAACACAAACTTTTGACCCTAAGGAGTTTGGCCTAGTGGGTAAAGCTCAGGAGCTTCATTTAAGTGATCTCAAATTTGAATCGGACATGTGCTAGCAACTCTTTAGGGGCCAAGTTCGTTGGCCCGAAAGTCTAAAGTTTACCCCATCCATGTGAATGCGTGTTTCATTGACCTTTTGGTCTAGTGGGTCAAAAATGTCAGATACCATGGTTACTGAAAAAAAGGCTTCATAAGACATCATCTTCTTTATGCCCTTACTTTCCTCAGGGCATTTGCTACTATGGCCAGATATAAAGTAAAAAATACATCTATAGTTTGTAGAATGATCGTTTCCTTGGATAGGGTCATCTAGTTACTTTTTAACTTTTGGATATTTACTTGATGTATCATTCGTTGTTAGGCAATATCTCTGCGAGAAAGGAAGCTTGTTGGGACAGTTGCTCTAAATCTTGAAATCGAAAGAGAAGATGATGCTTCTCAAGTTCGGGTTTTCTCTCCACCTTCTCAAAGTTTGGGAGTCGATGGAAATTCTGAAAAAGATTTGCTGAATTCAAGTGAAGGTCAAGAACTACAAGATAGAACCTACAACTTGCCTACAGAAGACGAAACGAACAATATTGAAGGATCTTTGCAAGTTCCCTTACAACTTTCAACTCATGGTATTGAAAGCGATAATGATCTGATCAGTAGGTTGACCGGTTTAACTTCTTATGAAGACCTTTTGGACCGAATTGATCAATATCTGAACAAAGTCGAAGACGAGGTCAGCACAGTTGTGAAATTCTCGACTTTGGTTCTGGAAAGCAAGGAGACCCCGGCAAATGTGAAGTTGCAACAACTGATGGAAATTCTTGATGCTGTTCGGCATGTTAGACAAAGGTATCATCTACGGTTAACTCGTGTCTGATGATGCATACTGCTGCTGAATGTTTGATTTTTGTATGATTACAGGATTGCTGTCATTATGGAAAGTGCAAACAGAAGCAGAGATGAAATTGTTATCTAATGGTTTTTATGCAGCAGGTTAGTATATGACTAAACTATAAAGTCATGATCTCATAGATGAAACCATTCTTTCAGTGGAAATACAACGAAAGTGTGGCATTTTCATTTGTTGTTTTCATCACTATATATATATATATATATATATATATGTATGTATATGTAAATGTGCAGTTGGGTTTGTGAGAACAGCCCCTTTTTGTGAGAATGTGAAGGTACATCTATATCAGGTGAAGGTTTGTCTTGAGACCTGTGAAAATACCCTTATATTGTGTGAAGGTTATAATGCAACATTCACACAATATCAAGGTATCTTCACATTTCCTCATCACGAAAATAAAGTTTCCTCACATGATCCTTACATAGATTCACTCTCTCTATCTCTCATATATATACACATATACTTATATATAGAGAGAGAGAGAGTGTGTGTGTGTGCGTAAATGTCTGCCCGAACAAACTTAAGTCTTCCGATCAACAGACATGGCTTCAAAAAGATTGTTAACACATGGAGGATTCAAAGGCTTGGACTTGAATATCACTCAAAACAGTCAAAATTTATCGCAGAACTGAGGAAGAGTAAGGTTTTACTGCATTAGTCTTTTTGTGTTACAGAATGTGTCCAACCTTCGGGTTTTAAATTAACCGTCTTCGTGTTTATCTGTCGTGATAGGCTTTGCAGCTGAGTTTTGTTAAGGGTTGGAACATATTCAAATATTACTCAGCTTTTATGAAGTATAGAATATTTTATTTTGGATTGTGCTAAAAGAATGCAGTATTTATTTTTATAGGAAGATTTCAGTTCAATCACCCACTCATTTGCTCATCTGTTCTCAAGGATGGTATTTTGGTTCCATGAAAGATAGCTATGAAATACAGACTAGTGGTTCCCTGGTTAAGCACTTAAGCCTAGCGGATGTAATGAAAAATCTATCTATTCTTGGTTCGAATCCAGGTGTTGCCAAAGCTCTTGTAGTCATGAAAGTTCACTTGTAACGACTCCAGACCATTTGTGGTCGCTTGGGGGATTAGTCGGTGTGCTTAAGCTGCTTCGGAAACTCACGGTTACCCCAAAAAAAAGTCATATGTTGACTAGAAACTCTTGTGTTATCCAGGGATTTTGAGATTAATCGAGATATGGACAAACCAGTTCGAACACCGAAAGAAAACAGTTCTGTTTATCAAAATCAATTATATCTTCTAGCAAGTGTCATGAAAATCCCAAGAATATAAAACTCGCAAACCTTAAGAATCATGTTTTTTTTAATAATTCTCTTTGTGTCTAAAACAATGAATATTATTATCGTGTTGGGTACTGAGGAGAACGAAAAACCATGATGAAAAAGATAAGAAGAGATTTCTATTCTTGAATTAATTATAATTAAAGTGAGACACTAGATCAACGCTTATAAGATATTTCAAAATCAATTCTTTTTAAAGCACCAGAAGGGTATTCGTGCAATGTAGCGAGATGTATTTTGATTTTAATGTTTCGTTTTATTCTTTTGGTCTCTGTCGATATTATAATATAGATTTATGTGGTTTTGAGCAAGTAATAATATTTTTTTTAAATTTAAATTTGAAAGTATCATGAAAATTAAAAATATATATCTATAAAAGTTCTCAATTTTTTTTGTGTAATTTTTTTAATTTAATTTTTTTATTATAATTTAATTTAGGTTTAATGACGAAGTAACTTGTTTCTGATTTAATAATATAATTTTTATAAAGATAATAATTAAGTATTCTGTTAGAACTCAATAATTATTCTGATTATATTTTTATATATATTTAAAATAAAAAATTTATCCTGTATTTGATTTATTTATCTACAGTTAGTTACATGAATTCAAATATGGAGTTTAACAAGTTATACTTATGCACAATTTACTTGTAATATTGAATTTTAAGTAATATACACCAATAAGCAGTATTTCATGTATAAAATATGATTTCTAATATAAGAGTTTTTATCAAATGTTTTATAATATAGTATAGATAATTCATGAATTGATTTAAAATTTAAAGTGATCAAAAGTCCAAATCTCTTATTACATTTATTAATTAACTCATGTTTTGACATTATGTTGAATTATTTTAACCAAACATAATTTAATGTCAGAGATACTCATTGGACAATATATATATATATATATATATATATATATATATATATATATATATATATACTAGAAGAGTACTCGCGCAATGTAACGAGATATATCTTGATTTTAATGTTTTATTTTATTATTTGATTATTTGTCTCTATCGATGTTATAATACGATTTTATGTGTTTTTAAGAAAGCAATAATAATTTTATTTTTGAATAAAATATAAATTTAAAGATATCATAAAATTTTGAAAAAAAATATCAATGTTAATATCAAATCAACTATTTAAAAATTATCATTTTTTATATAATTTCTTTAATTTATTTTTTAATTATAATTTAATTTAAGTTTAATAACGAAATAGTTTATTTTTGATTTTATAATATAACATTTTATAAAGATAATAATTAAGTATTCTGTTAGAACTCAATGATTATCTTAATTATATTTAAAATGAGATGTTTATCTTGTATTTGATTATGTTTATCTGCAGTTAGTTACACGAATTCAGATATATAGAGTTTTAATAAGTTGTACTTATGTACAATCTACTTGCAATCTTGAGTTTTAAGTAATATGCATTAATAAACAATTTTTTATGCATAAAAAATGGTTTGTAAGAATTTTTGTCAAATGCTTTATAATATAGTGTATATATATATATATATATATATAATTAATTTACATAATAATTTTTTAAAGACTAACGATATATTAAAAAAGCAAAAAGGTATAAAAACGGAAGCGACCAAAGTTTCCGCAAAAAGAATAAACAATCAAAAACACAATCTCAAACGAAACAACCATCGAAACCAGAAATGAAACAATAACAGACAAGATCACGAAATGCACACGATCCAGACTATATGTATAGTTAAAAGTAATTGTAATAACATTATGCATGATTTATCTATTTTTATTATCATTATTATGTATTAATTTTTAATTAAAAATCTCTATAATAAAATTCACATAGATTATTAAATATAATCCAACCTATTAATATCCTTCTTACACTATATAATCAAGTTTTACATTTAAATTTTAAAAATGCATAATTCAACCTTATTTTGACATAAAAAATTACATTTATACTATATTATAAAGCATTTGATAAAAACGCTTAAAAACCATCTTTTAAGCATTAAGTACTGTTTATTGATGCATATTACTTAAAATTCAAGATTACAAGTAAATTGTACGTAAGTACAACTTATTAAAGTTTCATATTTAAATTCGTGCAACTAACTACAGATAAACATAATCAAATAGAGGATAAACATCTCATTTTAAATATATAAAAAATCTAAAATATAATTAGGATAATCATTGAGTTTAACAAACTACTTAATTATTATCTTTATAAAAAATTATATTAACTTCGTTACTAAATCTAAATTAAATTATAATAAAGAAAATTGAATTAAAGAAATTACACAAAATCATCTACAAAGACAAAATAATACGAAACACTAAAATCAAGATATATCTTACTACATTACATGAATACCCGTGTAATATAATATAAAACACTTTTAGGTGATAGTTGATAGTGTCAAATCAATACCCAATCTTTGACTTACTATATGTGGAAAAAATTGAGTTTACTTGGAAACCCAATTGAATCGAGTAAAATCCCTTTAATTATACAGGTTTTCTTGTGGTTTTGAGATAAATTCTGAATTAAAGATTCTGTTTTTTTAAAGCATTTTGTTGGGAATCTTTTAAACACAATGTTGTTATTTGATGGTAAAATTCAATTACAAATTTTTAACCATTTCAAATCCAGTGTTTATAAATGGTTAAGGGATGAAGTGGAGTATCTGCAAGATTTCAGATTAAAAAATATCTGACATCCCTACATGCTCGAGTTCTTTGGTGGTCACTCTGTCGTCAGCAATCTTTCTTTTTTACTGCAATTATATATACGAAACCGATCCACCGCCTCACCACCCGTCTCCTAATATGTGCACCATGGTTCGAATCAGTTTTAGGGTTTAATCCAACAAAACAACAAGGGTTTACGGTTCCTTTCAGCTTTCTGCTGATGATGATTACATATGAATTCAAAGGGTACTTGTTCTTTCTACTTGCTGAATTCTTTTTTCACAGTTAATTTCTTGATTTAGGACCAGTTGGGTATAAAGGTCTCGTTTTTTTTCTTTTCTACAATGGGTGTCAAAATCCTAGCAATTTTTTCGTCAGTTGTGTACCAAGTACATTTGTGGAGTGTAGAAAAAGGAAAGAACACGAGGGTTGGTGAAATTTCGTGTTGTTTTGGGGAGAAACTATTGATATCAAGTGGTAATAGATCGTTTTTGTGTTGGTTGTATTCCTTCTGCTATCAGAAATGAATTTTTTTTACCCTTTTTCTTTCTTTTCTTGAATTCATTATTCCATCTAGATTTTCTGAGCACTTCTTTGATCACAAAAATGGTTCCTTTATATTAGGATACAGTCCAAAACCCTAATTTTTCATCGAATTATACCCACTATCATGTACTTGATCTTCTTGTTGCTATACTTCATCTCTGATTTGATTACATTCGTATATTTCTCAACTTGGGGGACTAACTTACCTTGGTTTTTCTTCATCATCAGCAGGGGTCAGCGATTTGCGAGAGTAGTTAGTGTTTTTTCTGAGGAGTAAATCATGATTAAGGGTGATGATATGAAATAGTATATGATAGCTTGTTTGATGGTGATGGTTGTCTTCAGGGGTGCATTGGTTTTGAAAATTTAAGAGCTCTTTGGACTAGTATACTTGATTGCTACTTGTTTTACTTTCTGTGAGTTCGATAACATTTAATTAGATTTAGTGAGTTATAGAAGATGGCTGATGAAACAGTCGGGGACTCCGTGTGGACTAGAGAGCAGGATAAGGCTTTTGAAAATGCACTAGTTACTTATCCTGATGAGAAATCCAAGGATCGGTGGGAGAAAATTGCTGCTGTGGTTCGGGGGAAATCGGTGGAAGAGATTAAGCATCACTATGAGTTGTTAGTTGAGGATTTGGACAATATCGAGTCTGGTCTTGTTCCTCTGCCTTGCTATAGTTCTTCATTGGATGACTCGGAAAGCCATGCAGGTGACGGTGGAACCAGTAAGAAAGGCGGCAATTTTGGTCAGAATAGCAGTGAATCAAATCATGGAGGTAAGGCCTCAAAGTCAGATCAAGAGCGACGTAAAGGGATTGCTTGGACAGAGGATGAACACAGGTTGGTTATTATTTCACAATGGGGATCTCTTATTTTATTTATTTATTTATATATATTTGAGTTCGTTAAGTAGGACTTGGGTAGGGTAGCAGACTAGAGGTGGGATCTGCAGCTAGAGTAGACGGGAGGTAGGGAGCTTGAGAGGCCATTTCTGCCTATATCTTACCATCCCCATACCCTAACCAGAGGTGGGATATACTGGTTTGTTTGGGTTGCTTTGAGTTTATTGATTGTGGCAATGTAGTTTTAGTTGTTCTGATTTTGTTGCTCTTTTTCCAGTGTCATTTTGTGATGGGTATAACTTATTTTATCTATTTATGCTTGAGTTTGTTGAGCTTAGAGGCGTTCTTTTAGTTGTTTCGAATTTGTTGCCGTTTTCATGCCTTGATGAATTTTCCTTTCTATGTTGTTGTTTTGTGTGCTTGCTTTAAGGTTCTTATTAATGAAATCACTTATGGAACCAATAAAGTGGAAACATACATTGTTCCTGCTCATGCTCTCTTTTAATGATACAATGGTCTATCTGGTCTGATGTACTCTTATACAAATTAGCAGAATGCTTAGGATTGCATATGATTTCCACTAGTAAAATTGATGAATACAACCAAAGGGCCTTTGGCCTAGCGGTATCATAGCCTTTGACCTCCTAGGAGGTCAGGGGTTCAAACCTCACCAAAGGTGAGGAGGATGTGTGAGTTTATTTGTTGCATTTGCCATATAAAAATATTATATACTTCAAAAAAAAAATTGATGAATACAAGAAGGTAAACCAAGGCGCATGCCAGTTTAATCACCAAAACAGAATGCTTATCCCCACTCCTACTCACACCTATTTAGCATTCTTAAAAAAACTTTTCCTTTTTTACCCCTTGTAACAGAATACTCCCACTTCCAAAATTGCCCTTATTAAAACTATTCCACATCCTATCCCTTTCTACTCCTAGCCAACATAACTAATAGCAACTTCTAGGGTATTACATGGTCTCACCACCTGCTCCTATCTACCGTTAATTTTAACTAATTAAAATATACATAGAGGGAGGTTCAAACAAGATCAGTAAATAAATAAGAAAATACAAAGAAGGCAAAATCACGTGCAAAATCACATGATTCGACTGTTTTCTTATTCTCTTATTTAGTTACTGTTCTCGTATGAACATGATTCTCTCCCTCTATATATATATATATATACACACACACACACACGTGTGTTAAGCTTCTATGCTACTTTCTCATACAAGTTTCTTTGAGGAGATGACACCCATATTTAGTACAGGGTATTACGGTTGTAAGGTTATATCTCTCAATAAGTAAAGCAATGTTTAAGCCAGGATGTGTTGACTTAACATTTGCAAATTTTGTAATACAAGAATGCCATTCAGTGAAGAGATGATCCTGCGATCATCTCTCAACCCAAATTAAGCAATGCCATGAGGTCTTGAAGGTTTTCTTTTTCTTTCCTTTGTTTTGCTGCATAAGTTGGAGTTCCTCAAGTGCTAGAGTTTTAAACTTGGGTGTTGCTGGGGGCTGAGCGGCAGAAGTTTTATCCCCTGAGACATGGCTTTTGGAATCTTTCTTTAAAAAATACCATCAATGAAGCTCTGCCCGAAAGATGTGTAAACCACCTCAAATGAGGTTGCCTCTACGTATATTTAATGACTGTATATATCCTCATTTCTAATCATATATATTGCTTATGGCAAAGCATCCATCTCTAAATTCGTATTTCTGCTACACTCGTATCATGTGCTGTTGACTTTTGGTGGCCCAACTTGCCACTGGTAAATCATTGCAGGCTTGATCCTATGGAACTTTATCTTTTCTCTTCATTGGGACTTCTGTTCACACAAGACTCACAAAGCTTGTAGTAACGAAATGAATCATCGTTAACAACTACACTGTTGGCTTTATATTCTTATATGGCATGTCCGTTTTCATTAGAGGACTAGAACATCTGCCATGTCTTACGAACTAGTGCCTTGTAACTAGCTAGCCCGCGAAAATCAAACCAAATGAAATGCCTGGTGAATAATTTCCATGAAAGCATCCTATCTAATTTCATGAGATGTTGAGGACCGATGGATGCAAAGTTCAAGGGATTACTGTAACCATTTGTGCAATGGATTTAGATCGTCAGACGACAGAATCCTAGAAACTGCTCATAAGTCTGCATAGTAGTAGGAAGTTCATTGAACTAGTAGTCCATTGCATATGCTAGCAGTATCATCTAGTTTGCCCTTCTCCGAATCTGTGTGCTTGTAGGAAGTCTTTTTTGAAGTATATAAATATTTATATACGGCACGTACTTGCACATACTCCTCAGCTTTGGTGAGGTTTGAACCTTTGACCCTTCAAGGAGACTAGGGGCCTGTTTGTTAGCAGCTTAATGAGCTTAATGGGACTTGCATCTTATTCGGTCAGCTGTACATGATTGTTTGGTAGTGGCTTAATGATATAGAAAGTGGCTTATTTAGTAAGCTTTTAGGGGGAAGCTTTAAGTAGAAAGCCAAGTTTTTTCCAAACCTGCCTTCCCAATTAAAAAGCACGTTCCTTCCATCTATGAAAAAAGCTCCTAACCAAAAACCTTCTCAATCTATACAGACAAATCAATCCACAGATAGCTTTATTCATACAGGATTATGGAAAACAACCAAACAACCCCAAGGATTTACGGGTAAGCAGGACGACACTGGGTAAATGACCCGTTGACCTGGTTGTAGGAAGTTCACTTAACTAGTAGAATCCATGGCATAGGCTAGAGTACCGTTTGCACGATTCCTTCCCATATGTTACCTTTAGAAGAGATTGAACAAAGAACTATAGATTACCGCCATAGAATGTGTCATGGGAAGCCACTTAAGTGTTAACCACAATATATCTTGATTCTTTGAACCATAATAGAGCTTTGCTTGACTTTTAGAGTAGCACTGAGAGCCAAGTAATGCACGGAGACACTGTGATGATTTGGTTGGATTACGTTTAATCAAATAGATTGCCACTTTGCTATAAGGCAAGAGGTGTCTCGTTTTGACTGACCAATAGATCATGGTAGTCTGGTAAGCAAGGCCGCTGGGTATACCTTTTTTGTTCATGTTGTGTAGAGCATATCATTATTTGGGGAGAATGATATAAATGTGGGCCAGGGGGATACAAATCATATAAATACTAACATATCAATGGGAAAGTATATAAGAGATGTAAGAATGTATGACACGCCTTTTCACGTTGGTAAATGTGAAAACGAACCATAGTAGTTGATCTTAGTAATCAAATTTCATCAGTTCCAGGCTCAAGTGTCTGTTCATCCATCTTCATTCCAAAGGCGAGCATATCCATAACTTACGGTGTTAGCTGGCAGCCATCAGCAGCACCATGCAAGTCAAATTGATAAGAACCTTAAAGATTCTTCAAGTCAAAACAAATATGCAATTGAAGAGTCATGCCAAACTTACAAGTCTTGAAACACATGCCAAGTGAGTGGCTTGATATTGCATCATTGCTTGCAAAGATTTGGTCATCTTCAGCATAGATATATTGTCAGGTAAGAAGGGTGTTACGGGAGGTAAGGGAACAATAATAGAAGTAGTTAACAGAGATTTGAAGGGGTTAAAATCTACGAGGAATTGTTATCATATACGAGACCATTGGATTTTGGTGACAATTCCCAAAAGATTTCATGGCCATTGTTGAATAGAACAATTACTTCTAATCTGGGTGATTTTAGTTTTGGTCAGACTTGAAGCAAGTTGCTCAAGTTTGCAACACGTTTTATTTGCTAATGAGCTTTTGTTGTGCTTCCTAGTATATCTATCTAGTTTTCTCCTTGGTATCCATCTCTATTATTGCTGCTAATTTAAGTGATTACAATTAACTGCAGATCCATCGCAGCTGGTTACTGTGTAATTTTTATCAATTCGGTTAATTTGATTGTATCGCGAGCCTCTAAATATGACTTTTATGTGTTCACAAAACCTGGTTCACTCATCTAGCAGCCATCATCGACTTCTCTCTGCACAAATAAAATTGATCTTTGTAGGTTGAGATGATAAACATGTGAACGAATCCATCCTTTTCCCAGTTGATGATTAAGCCAAGGAACAATAAAAGATTTAAGGTTTTCAATTGTAGGGCCAGGTTCAAATTTTATTTTGAGAACTTGGGAACCAACTATTCATTCTTTACTCATGATGAATATGCATGCTATCATGAATTATGAAAATGCATGATATACATGATGGATAATATTCATGATTCTTCAGAGGTATTCAGTCATTAATAATACATGAAATAGTTGGTTCCCTGGTGTTCTCATTTGAACTTCCTCTTCTGTTATAGATCGTCAAGTTTTCTTGTTAATTTTGGTAATTCGAAAGTCGGACGTGATCAATCATATCGGCTCTCTTTTTAGAGTAATTCCTGGTATTCACTTCCAATTATGACGAATGCAGATTATTTCTTCTTGGGTTGGAGAAATACGGGAAAGGCGATTGGCGAAGTATTTCCAGGAATTATGTGGTGACACGCACGCCTACTCAAGTTGCAAGCCATGCACAGAAATATTTCATTCGATTGAACTCCATGAACAAAGATCGGAGGCGATCAAGCATCCATGACATCACCAGTGTCAACAATGGAGACGTGTCGTTGCCCCAACCTCCGACAGGGGTCGGCATGACGATTGGGCAACCAGTTGGTGGAGGACCGCTAGTTTCAGCAGTAGGAACACCGGTAGGTCTTGCAGCAGCACCAGCAGCACACATGGCATATGGTGTGGGAACCCAAGGCATCTCTTCACATGTGAAGAAGCAAGTTACAAAATTGTATAAACAACCTTAGGTAGGGTCATATTTTGAGTAGAAAAATGATTTTTGCAGTTCTATGAGATCAGTTAATCTTAATATTTGATTATATTTTAATAAGACATAGGTGAATGTTTTGCTTATGCTTATGTTATGCATTGTTAAGCAACAAATATGTATTATAAGGTTATGTGGTCTGGTCAAGGCAATCCAAAACAAGCCATGCCCAGTCCGATTATGGACCAAATCGGACCGGTCTTGGTCTGGTCCGCCTCAAAAGATTGTGGGCAATTGAGGACTAACGGTCTAGTCTTATCGGGCTTGATGATGTCATTACCTAATCAAGATGGACCGGTTTGGTAGTATAGTCATGTCTTTTTGCTCATCTTTAATCAGGTTTATTAATAATTCACCGCCCTGGCCCTGTGTCCCGATGAGAGGGTTGCCAAGTAGAAGTCTTCACTAACGTTGATGGGTAAGCACGAATGCTTAACCACGAGGGTCATGCACTTAATGACCTGCTTTGGTATGGCTTCACCCTTTTCTGATCATTGTGGGTGCGTTTGATATGCCGGCAAGATGAGATTTTAATGAGCAAAAGTGAGATAAAGCAAATGAAAGAATTGTGGAAGGTTTTTAGATTTTGATTTAACATGGATAATTTAGTAATTTAATGATCTTATCTTATTTCTTCGTTTTTTGTTTAACCTGTCCTATTTTGATCGAGTGGATTTCTCATCATTTTAGGTGTCAATTTGTGGCTAAATTTAAATCCTACCACCTCATTAAGTTAGTGGCTCAATGACGACAAATATGAAATAACAAGTTTTTGTTTTGTATGTCTTACGTACCAAATGCACGAGGCTTGATGTTCCACATATTGTTTATACATGGACTCGGTGAATAGATCCACATATCGTTCTTTGGGAACAACACGAAGATTGATTACCATGTAGGGTATGTAGAACTGCTAGAGAAGCAAATCAAGTACACAACGGTTTGCTAGATGTATGTCTTAAATACCCACAAGAATCCTGAAATTGCCTCTGCTAGACTTTGAACCCTCACGCTTTCAAAGCCAACTATAGATCACTCAGTATGTGTTTTTGGTGTTTATGGTGAAAGGACGCGATGTCGGTTTTTTGAAAGAATAAAGGTTTGTTTGAAACTAAAGGATGGTTCAGATTAGCATGTAAAACATTTGATGGAATGAGAAGTAATTGTATATTTGAATAATTACAAGCAAGACCAAAAGTTTGGTCAAGCATATTGAGTCTTGTCCTTCTTCCCTGCAAGAATCATCGAGATTTGCAGACCTCTGCTGAATGCTTGATTGAATAGTAGCCTTGTCTGGAACTCGGATACGAAAGGGAACCAGGATAGTATAACGATGGGCATGAATATAACCAACCCCATCACACATTCATACGCACGTCCCAGCTCCATTATCGAATCCCAAAATCCTATGCCTTTAACGCAAGGTCTGCACGCTTGACCAATCTTCACGACCACCATAAACAACCATTAATAAACACAATCAGGATTCATGGTCTGGCATCGGTTTAGGACGATAAAATTTGAAACTTACCAGGAGAAATGCCCACCCTGTTGGCAGGAATGCAAGAAAAGCAGCACATATGTCGCTTAAAGTGAGGCCACATACGACGAATAAGACGGTCATAATCGATAGGAACCCGAGGAAAAGAAGCGCCTTTAAGATCCTGAACATGAGTTGAAAATCGGTCCCAAATCTCCGTCTACCCATTGAGACCAGCTGGTAAACACAATAGCCAAATAATTAGATTATCAGCAGGAAAAATGTAAGTCAGAGAAAAGTGTGGTCCTATTATACTGTTCCCCAAAATCAAGGAGAGAAGGGAGGCTCCAACATATATAGAGAAGAAATGGTCCAAGTCTAACCAATGTGGGACTCCAACATACTCCCTTCAATGGAGGCTAAATGGGTACAGATTGGTAGACTTTGGCTCTGATACCATGTGAGAATATATTGAATCCTGTTATATTACTCTTTAAAAGAATCATTGGAGAGAAGGGAGTTTCCAACATATATAGAGCAGAAATGGTCCAAGTCTAGCCAATGAGGAACTCCAACACCCCGGCTCCGACGGAGGCCAGACGGGCATAGATTGTCCCAGAGTGGTAGACCTTGGCTTTGATACCATGTGAGAATATATAGAAACCCCACTAGATTACTCACCAA